TTAAAGAATTCAGCAACAAATGTTTATTTCTAAGCCAACCAGTGTTCAGCACTTACGAAGCCGTTCATGCTATGATATTTTTGGTGTTTCTTAAGTGCTCTTCAAGCTGTATCCAAGAATCCCTTGGCATCATTGAGGTCTGCCTAACAAGTGAAGATGTGTTCTCATACAGTTACTCAGGAAGGCTTTTAGGCATTGTTAGTGTGCCAATATTGTTGATTACTCCAGCAATAACAAAATCTGTTTCTGCATTGGTGGTCCCATCTTGTGTTTTGAATTGAAGAGATGAACTAGGAAGAAAAACATGCAACGGTCACTAGAAAGATACACGTGAAGAGATGCGTACAAAACACACCTACTCCTTCCTCTTTCTGATATGTTGCTATTTAAAATACACTGTAGATGGGATGGGTCACTTAAGTTATTATGGAAAGGAATTTGTGTACAAGAGAGACGTCTCATGAGAATAAACAGAACAATCTGGAATTGCTTTAATTTCCCCTTTGACTTTAAGGTGTGATTTAATTCCTTCCCACTGTGTCCTTCCCAAATGAAATGTGGGATAAAAGATACGCTGGTGGGAGTTGTTTCCTAAGTATTCAGCCTCTTTGCTAGAAGAAACTCACTTGCTGCAGAGCAAGTCAATTCCATACATCTTCTTTGCCACTTTTTCTTTCTCCTTCCAAATGCTGTCTTTTTCTATGGCTCCTTCATCAGTAGTTGTTTTCCTAGTGCCCACAATGCAGTTTGTGTTCCTTGGCTGTCATCTAAAATACCACAGCAAACAATAAGATAATCAATTTTAATAAGGAAAGAAGGAAAAACAACTTCTACAGTTAAATTACACGGCCTTTCCCTTAGCTCAGGAAATCAAATCAAATCAAACTGAATGTGCTCCTTTGGTCGTGGATCTCATTTTCCAGTAACAATTACAATTTCTCAAAAGCTGGTGTTCATGTAAATACTAAACCAATTGCACACAAACAGTCAAATCATTTGTAAAGGTTTATTTGTATTTGCAAGGGGTTACCTGCCAAGCTAGATTGTCTGTGTCACTTTTAGTTTGGAATCTGTGCATCTGTCTCAGCATATATGAGCCAACAGGACAGAGTTAGGCAAGGAGACTGAGAGTCGGTAATTTAAGTATAGCCCCAATCCCCTTATCCCTCTTTAGGAACTCAGAGGATGATTTTTACTGAGGTTCTTACTCAAACCCGAACATAAAGAATGATGGGTATATTTTATGCTTTTATTGACCATTTGATAGCTATTCTATAAGCTATCTGAAAGAAATGGGATATGCTCAGCCTGGTCCCAGAGGAGCTGTTCTGCAAAGGCAGAAAACTCAGCCCTTCCCTTTACGCCACGAGACTGCGCTGCGGTGATCTATCTCCTGCGGAATCCGACCCCCCCAGACCCACTGAGGTAGCTGGGGCCCCAGCCTTCCTCCTCGAGTGTAATGTGATCCATTTCAGAAATCAAATCTGGCTGAGAACTCGTGTATTTGAGTCTGCACTAGTATCGCATACTCTCGCTTCTTCATTATGCAAGTTTTGAGCCCAACAATATCCAACACACTCACATGCCCACAAAATACAGCACCCTGTGCAGTTACAGAAACCCTCTTTTGCAGCACATTTCCTGCACTTTCTGCCCCAGGAGTATTTTACCCCCATCTTTTTCTTAGATTAAGTTTTTTGCTACCCTGAAACGGCGATCTGTTTTAAAATCATTGTGACTTCCGAATCCCCTTTGTCAACTGATGCTTGTGCCCATCCCACTTCCTATAAAGTACTCCATCTTCTCAACTGTTAGCTTTCCTGCTCTTACCAGAAACATTTCAATTTGGATAGAATAATTTCAGAGGGCTGCATTAGCCATATATGAGTCACACAATTTTTTTGCCATCTCAGTCATCGGGGAAAGTTTTTATTGCTCTGAAGTCCATTTCTGCAATTCGACATCCATTATTCCAGTAAGTACATCATCCAAGAGTGGTTTACATTTCTGAAAGTTATAGGAAAAGAAAAGGCAGCTTCTAACCATGTTTCTTCTTTTTGCTCTGCTGTCTTCAGCAGACTTTGTTATTAGGAGCAGGCTGTATGAAAAAGACCACCTGGACAGAAGCACCACAGGTCTATTTGACTGCGGGTTAGCACCCAGCAAACCATCCCTCAATTTAAGGCACAATTTTAGACGTGATCATTTCTAACCATAAACTTCATCCCAAAAACGAACAAATACAACTTTTGCCAGTACACCAGAAAATCTGCTCGTCAGTCTGAGGTCAATAGATGAGCACACCATACAAAAGCCTCAAGGAAGGAGGCTATAGGAGAAAGCTAAATGAATTCTTTGCATCTCTACATGGGATCTTGGAGACGTTCCCAGACAAGAACCTTTACTGGTGGGGTACAAGGGAAGAGCACTGTCTCACAGTGAAGTGTTAGTAGGAGATGTGAAATGAAATGCATAAAATGAGTCACTATTCATCACCAGGATCAGATGGGATTCACCCAAGAGATTCTTATCAGCTGAAGGATGAAGATGCTAAACTGTGAACTGCGACGTGCAACCTGCTCATCAAAATGGTCTCAGTATCAAAGAAATAAGGATGGCAAGTCTGATACCAATCTTTAAAAAGGCCATGGAGATAATCCAACAAACTATAAACCACCAAGTCCAATTTCTGTACTGAAAAAATTGCATGAAACTACAGCAATGACCAGAACTTGTGTGCACAAACGTGAGACTGAGGAGTAACCCCCCTGTGTGGGCGTAAAGGGACAGAGGAACCAGTCTTCCAGGGTACATCCTAAGTTTCCTGCTGAGAAAAAGTCATCCAGGACTGTAAAAACAAAAACTGGCAGGAAGGCGCTGCAGGAGATGTTCATAATATTAAATGACTGAATTAAATGGCAGTGAAAGCAAATAGTTGATACCTGCAAAGTAAAATACTGCAATGAGGGTGGGGTGGAAAGGGAAGGAATCCTTCCCTTTTGTAGTCGTGGGTGCTACCTATCTATTCCTGCCGAGGAAGCTGTCGAGGACAGTTCTGTTACAGTGTCAGGTTCACGACTCAAAAGAGCAAACAACATGAAAAAGGAAAAGAGAAATAAACAGGACTCATACGATACAGGTGTATAAATCTATGGGACACTCACGGCTTGAACACGGGATGCAAGTTTGGTCCCTCCTTCTCAAAAAGGATACGGCAGAAGTAGGAAAGAAAGAGAAGGGCAACAAGGATGGCAGAACGAGGATGCCACAGAAGGGGACATGACCTTAGAGACGAACAACCGAGGTAAGACATGATAAGAGATGCACAGAATGATGAGCACTGAGCAGAGTGGAGAAGGAAGTACTGGTTTGCACAGTACCGTTCTTAAACTGCAGAACTCATTGCACACCAAACATATAAATGGGTTCATAGAGCACTTGAGTTGAGCTCAAGGAAGAAAATTTCATCGGGGCTGGGAAACACAACAATGAGCATTCAACCTTCGACTCGGGAAGCACCCAAATGGCAGATGGCCAGAAGCACACAGTCATGGACAAGGCGCTGAGCTAGATGGAGATCACCCTATGCTTTTGTGTACAGTTACAGACGTTTATAGCCACAGCTACTCACATGAGTTTCTTTCGTTTAGACCAGACACTCCTATCAGGAAAACGTAGTTTCACTTCAATACGCTATCACTCTCTCAAGTCTTTTACACACTTGCATTAAACCGTATCTCCTAGCAGGTTTAAAAGAGACCCAGAAAACAGCCACTTGGGCTTCTTCCACTCTGCAGACCACTGACATGGTTTCACCTTCCCAGTCTATTGCAATGGTTCTTCAACCCCACAGAACCAAGCCTCTTTCTCTGACAGGAACAGAGAACTACAATTTCGCTACAGGTCAGCAAGACAGAGGGGAAGACAAAGTTGGCCTGTTCTCTATATCCTCAGCTCCTCTGTAAACTGAAGTGTCTTCTCATAGACTGAGTGTTCAAGTCAGCTGATAAAAGTTCATCTTTCTACCTATTTACACAGAAATCCATATAAGTTATGAGGAACCTTCTCCCACAAAGTCTTCCTCTCTAAACTACTGAGCTGTCACATTATTTAACTGAAGATATTCAACTTCTCTCTATGTATCACAAGTAAGGGTGGAAAGCTCTTGTTCACGTCCATGCTTTCCCAAGTTCTCCAGCTAGCCCTACTGCACACCTACACAGATTACTTCGTCCACCTCCAGATTTGATCTTCCTCCTAAATCTTACAGTTAAAGTCCTTTCTGCAGCTGTTAGTAAATTCTAAATTGGCCCAAACTTCCAAGGACTGCTTTGTTTCCTTGAATCCACTGGCCGCAGCAGGAAGCTCACTGGCATCCTCTTCCATCTGCTTTGCTATCCTAGCTGTGTATCTTGCAAGCAGACTCTCACTGTGATCCAGTCAGCTGGTGACTCGCTGCTCCGTCAACGAGGCTTTCAGATCACACCTCACATGTCTGCAGACCCTGTTTTTTTTCCCAGAGTCATCATTTTTTAACATCAGTATATGGATGTGAAGCCTTTACGCCTCTCAGATCCTGGTTTCTTTCCCATCAATAATGTGAATTAAAGAACACATCTATTATTTGGTCTATATTCAGAACACTAGCTTTCAGTTTATATTATGTTATTGTATTATTTTTATATGACTTATATAATTTATTCAGTTTCTAATTGAATCCCATCGCTTACACCAGCATGGCTAACTAGAAAGCCAGGGTCTTCTGGGCCGGGTGACTCGGGAGGAGTACTGACACGAGAGGAACTGGCCAGCAGCAGCAGTGTCTGCTCTCAGGACTTTCCAAGCCCTTCTTCTCTCAGCAGGTACCACAGAAAGCTCTTGCTCCAGGCCATGCCCTCAGCACTTCGTCAGGCTGTGCCCGATGTGCCCGTGAGCCGCTGTCCCTCAGGACGCGCTTCCACAAGACAGGCTGCTGAAACAGACGGTGGCACCGGACGGGGATGCTCTTCCACCCCCGACCCCCAGCCACACGCTCCTGCGGCTCGCTGTCCTTCAGCTCTGCCGAGAACCCCACCAGCGAAGCGGACAGCTCTCGGCTGGCTCACGGTAGAAGCAGGCGAACGCTGCCCTCCAGGCCGCCCTTTGAGCAGGGCGGGGGCGGCAGCGGCAACGAGAGGAGGCGGGCAGCCCCCTTCTTCCCTGCCCTGCCCTGCCCTGCCCTGCCCTGCCCTGCCCTTCCCTGCCCTTTTCCCTTCCCTTTTCCCTTCCCTTTTCCCTTCCCTTCCCTTCCCTTCCGTCACCAGAGGCGAGGCGAGGCGAGGCGGGCCCC